TGGAATCTTCCGTCCAGTCTTCAGGTCCAAGAGTCCAGTAGAGGAAGATGCCAGCAGGGGACTCACTCCAAGTGACTACCAGATGGTATAGATAGGTTTGTAAGACTGCGGGGATGACGATGTCCGTTTATAAAACCACGGCCATAAAGGCACAATGCTCAAAGCCACACGGCCAGTAGAGTATCAGCGGTACACCTGCCATATCGGCAATTAATTCTAAAGGCCCGGTGGTCAAAATTTAAAGACAACCGTCACCCCAAAAGACCGCCCACTCTATTAACGAAAGAGAGAGTACAATGTAGTGTTATATAAAAAACCTTTTCTTGATAAATTAAGGAAAACAAACCACACGTCTGTATTTCAGGCTGTTGGCTCTCACAGCCTAGTGCAAGCTGTACATCAACGACCAACCAAGAAGGCTAAATGGCTTCTTATGTAATGAATCCGTGAAAAGGTATTCTGACATGAATATCATTAAATATGTGAAGAAAGTATGCATATATGGGAAGAATCTTAATGTCTAAATGTATCCCTTTATTATTATTTTTTTCAAAATTCAATTGAATTATGAGGAAATGCCTTTTGCCTTGGTTATGCCCTGGATTTAGGTCAGGTCAAGTTGAATCTTTGAAATTACAAAGTGGTCGCTTAGGAAGCCCTGGTCACTCTCATTTGATAATTCTTCAAAAGAGGAGAGATTTACTGTTCTATATATTTAAAGCTGATTTTTTGGATTCATTATGGATTCTAATCTTAGAGAGAGAGAGAGAGATTAATCTTATTAAAAAAAAAAAACGACAATTTTTTTCTCACAATGAGTTTCCTTTTCACTTTAAATTGCAAGCTTCCAAGCGATAATTGCTCTTCAACGAGCCTAATTGTGAGAAAATATTTGTATTTTTTTAAACAAGATATTAATAAGATTGGAACTCATACTGAAATCAGCTTCAAATACATAACAGTGATTTCTCTTTTGAGCGAATTATCCAATGAGCGACCGGTTCCCTAAGCGACCACTTTGTAAATTCAAAGATAACTTAACCTGATCTAATCCAAGGTATAACCAAGGGGAAAAAGGCATTTCTCTATCATTCAATTTAGTTTAGCAAAAATAATATCAAATGGATAAATTTTGGTATCATGATTCTTTCCATACTTTCTTAACATGTTTAATCATTTTCAGCTTTTGACAATTTCATCTTTGTTATGTATTCTTCTACCTGATATTCAATAATCTTAGGTAGTGTAGTTTTCATTAAAAGAGATTGTATGCTACTGAAAAGTTATATATTTGCATAATATTTTATTATTACAGAATTATCATAAGAACTAAAAACATGAATATCTCACGCTATATATTGATTACATCACACCACAACAACAACCAAGTCCTTGGTCAAAACCATATATACATATTATATATTACAATCTTGAAAATCCTGATGAATCTTAGTTGACATGAAGATTTATTTATATGAAATGACTTAGGGTAAATCTAGAACGATTAGGAAAGAGACTACGTTCTTTTGGATAGAACGCAATCTCTAGCAACGTCACGGGCTGGATCAGCTTACAGCTGGAAATTTCCACAGCGATGACATGTGGACCACTCACTGACACTTCGCTTATTTTTTATTTAAATTTATTGATCAACCAGGTGTGATATTGATATATTTGCGTCTATTACAGAGGAAACAAACAAAACAGCAAACAAATTAGTACAGTTAAACCTGTCTATAGCGCCCCCTCTTGGGACTCACCAAAATAGAGTGTTATAGAGAGGGGGTGCTATAGACAGGTCACTTTTAATGTAAAATGTTTATATTTTAATGTTTAAAATCAGGCGCTATAGAGAAGGAAGGCGCTATTTAGAGAGGGCGCTATAGACAGGTTTAACTGTACTTAGAAATAAATATTTACAAATTTACATGTATATTAATCGACAGAGTTCATAAAATTTATATAGACAAAGTGGTTGATGAAAGAGAGTTAAATCATTTAGATGTGTTACTTCTGTAAAGTTCGGACAGTCATAGATAAGGTGAAGAGCAGTTTGTTCAGTTTCTCTGCAGGAACAATTTAGTGTACTGACAATTCGCTTTGTAAAAAACAGGGATAGCTCCTGGAATGAATATACCTATCTCTTATTTGATAGTCTACATTGTAGGCTTTTTTTTTTCGAACAACAGAAATACCATCCGGATAAAGTATAACAGAATTTAAGATAAGACCGGGAAATTAAGAACAGTATTTTATGAAACTGAGTCCCAAATAAATATACAATAAACAACAGCACATAACAAAAAACGCGTAACATTCATTACAGCACATAACTAATAACTTTATGCAATAAAATTTTACAACACACAACGCTATATTTACACTCATGGACAAAACTTAAGAAAGTGGAAAATATTTGAGGCAAAATACAGAGGTAATTTTTTTACACTTGGTTATCTCGTGGAATCTTCAATAAAGGTCACTGTAATATCTTTCAGAGTTATTGTCTGAATCCTGATTTACATGTTAAAAGGTACAAATTCGTTAAATTTGTTTATAAGTGTATATTCAAAGATTCTCCCCTGCTTTTACACTTTGACAAATCCAATAAGGGATCTAGGGCTAGGATTCTTTTAAAAAGAAACCTGGCCCTAGATTTTTTACTGATTTTGTCATAAGTGTCTACGCATGCATAATTCACCTTGCTAACAATCGGAATATATTTTAGATGGAACTTCTCTATTTATATTATTATTTATTTCAACACACAAAACGCGATATCCCGGCTAGGGATAATTGCGTCGATTTACATTTTTAAAAACAGAAACAGCTATAAATATATTATACAAGAAAAAGCAATCAAAAATAAAAAAGAGAAACAATAATATATATTAGGAACCCGAACCTTTCAGGTTTGAAAGATAATCACAAATATATTTACAAAAATAGTTAAATATATGATAATTCGCTCTGCTATTTACAAATTGATATAGATCTACAACATTATTTATTGTCTGTTGTCTAGCGGTAAAGAAGAGTGGGCATTCCAGCAGTAGGTATCTCGAGTCCTGGAATTCGTTGCCACAGTGACAGCTAGTCTTCAACCACTCCAATTTTTGATAAAAATTCCTTAAAATTTTTTATTTATTTTATTAATGCAATGGTTTTTTTTATAAGTTTTGTTCAAAGGGGACATTTTCTATTGAAATTGTCATTTTGCATTAAAAAAAAATTAATAATCATAATGAATCACGGTAAGGTGTTCTATTTAAGCACGAATGCTGTGTGTAATAGAGAAAAAGAAGAAAAAAAAAGGAATATTAGAAGGAAGGGTAGACTATAAGAATATAACGAAAATTGAATAAAAAGAAATACCATATAGGGGAAATTGAAATCTTAAAAATTGAAGAGCATATCCATAATTCTATAAATAATGAATTTTAAGTTGCATATATCTTTCTATTTTCTTTTTTTTTATGAATCCCCTCAATGGGTTTTTTTTCTGGGACTTACAGGAATTAATATATATATAGTCACGACCGTCTTTCCTCATCGGCCGGCCGTACTGTCACGGATGCGCGCGCACAGGGAGGTCACGTGCTCGCCGGCTCCCTCGAGCCGGATTTGAACCAGCGACCTAAGGATCACCGTTGTAACATCTACAGTCGGGTAAAACACGGGCGTTGCCCGGGTCATTCGGCTAGTCTGTATATAAAATTGAGAGCATAGTAGAATATCTATAACCTATGTATATAATAACAAAATAATTATATTGCTCTATATAAATCTCTCTATTTCAAGCACAATGTATGGACTAAATAATAATAATGGTGTTGATCTGTAATATTATATATAATTGTTAGCTGTATATATACTGAATGTAATGTTTAAATCAAAGATACAATTCTTTCATTGGCCTTGTAGAACGAGAATGGTGTACGCGTGATCGCATATTTTAGTGAAAAACACAAACATCCTCGATAAAGAGAGTCGAGTTGCCCCTCGAAATATTGGAACAATAAAATAATTATAAATGCAATATATGCATCTTTGTTTAATATTTACATATTTCCTACATAACTTTGTAAATTCGAATTTTTATCCTCTTTTTCCCCACTCATTTGCTGTATCTCCCAGGCTAATCTATAAATGAAATTAAAGGTCTGGTGAAACCGCTGGGAGAGTTAACTACTGATGATTCAGGCTCTTCCATTAATTTTACATTGCAGTAAGGACAGTAGAAATTGTTTAATTTTTAACAGGATCATACGCGTCTATAATAGTTTCGAATTTTAATAACAGATCGCGCGTTAATGCATCATAATTAAAGGTCTTTAAAAGGTGAGTAAAAATATATCAAGCCTCCATGAAAAAGTATATTTTCAAAAACATATTGTCATAAAAAACCAAAAATGTACATAGCTTGTAACTGTAAATAATACATCGGCAGCTTGGCGAATGTTATGTACCTAAGCCCCGATAGGTGGCGCGCGCTGTCAGCTTTGGCAAGTGTTATGTACCTAAGCTCCGATAGATGGCGGGCGCGCTAGGCGGGAAGTTTGTAAACAATAGTCGCCATCTTGAGAGGTGTAGCCGATCGCCAGCCGTTTGGGTCTCTGACATTACTTCCTTAATTTACCATTATTTTTATCCATTTAACTTAGTTTACCTCTATTTCTTTTTATCCCTCAAACTAATTAACTATTTAAAGTCATCTAATAAATTATTATTTTATTCTACCCTAACGTCACCTTCATTACTGTGACAATTCGCTAGCTTTCGGGCACGAACGCCTTTCTACAGGAGAAAACATGGTATGGTAATTTCACCTGTAAAAGGGCTTTCGTACCCGAAAGCTAGAGAATGAATGTTTTGAAAAGATAATTTTCCCTAGAGGCCTGATGTATTTTTACTCAATACTGATACAAGAGATTATTGATTATATTGATCGATTGAAGAATAATAAAGATTTATATTATATTTACGAACGGAAAAATATATCCAGAGTTAGCCTAGTGGACATGGCATCTGCCCGGTAAGCGGAACACTGTTGGTTCGATTCCCATCCCTGGTGACTTTTATTTTTCTGTTTATCATTACTCTTCACAATTCATCCTATCATACCTCATCCTTAAGGTTAGAAATAATCGTTATTTCTCCTTAAAATAATTTCGATTTTTCGTTCAAAAGAAACATTTGCGGTATAATTTGCAATTTTCGTTTTACAATCCGCATTATATTGTATTATAAAATTTTGTTGTTATTATTTGAAATTTCGGGTTTTACTGTATAAAAGTCGATGGACGAGTAGGTAACATCCTCGATTCCCGACAGTCATGAACCGGGATTGAATCCCGCGTTAACCTTTTGTTTAATATGTGAATAACCTTCATATATTATTCATTGTTTCAATTATAATAAACTAGGTTGTTCTTGTTGAGCGGTACCTAATAAAGTGATTTTGAAACCGGCTTTTACTGATTGAAATATCAGGTTTGGATGACACTGAATTCAAACAAGCGTTTAAAAGTTTGAGTTTAATGACGTGGGACTACGAAGATAAAAAGAAAGCAAAAGACAAGAATTCCATACGACCATTGTAGATAAGGTGACAAACGAACATTGACGGTGATAATTTGAAGAAGAAGAAGACTCAGCTCTTTCTTCCTGCCAGCGGTTACTACGGCAACGGCCTCCTGACATTGTCGCCTCTCTAGGGATGCCAAACACGATATTTTCCTTCTGCCGGTGTATTCTTCGTCTTCATTAGAAGAAGTCTTTGTGTGTGGACGTCTAACATTTGCTGATGGTGGCGCTTGTGTTTGTGGGAAGATGTGCATTCACGTTAACTCTTCCTCACATAAGATATTGTTACATCAATTTTAATGCGCTTTACATTTATTCAAAATATTCTATGATATTTAATATTTATTTAAAACATAATATTTAGATTATCAACATTCCTTTTTATAGTTTCTTTCCTTTTGTAATATTTTATTGTACATATATCTTGATTGCTAATTGGAGCGAGAGAGGTCCTAGAGGGAGACTGCGGATCACGACCTACGAGGAAGACAACGAATAAATAAACACAATTACGTTGAAAGGCAATTTATTTACTTTTATTTATTTGCTTTGAATATGGAAACCCGCTCGGGAAACGTGTATAACACCAAGAAGGAAGAAACCAAGATCGACGACCCTGCAAAGCTGCAACTTGGTGTAACAAAATAGAGGTAATACCAATTTAACACAATATAACGCGGCTTATGATTGTAGAACAACATTTGAAAATTATCCCGCATGTGTTTCTTTTAAACGAAAATCGAAATTTATTTTAAGGAGAAATGACGATTATTTCCAACCTTAGGGATGAGGTATGAAAGGATGAATTGTGAAGAGTAATGATAAACGGAAATATAAAGCGTCCAGTCTGCTGTTCTGGGTCCATGTCAATTTTCTGTTGTTGTCGTGTCCAATGAAGAGTCTCAGATGTCTCCGTGAATCTCTATCACAGCAGTCACAATGCCCACTATCTTGGATGTGTAAAGCTACTGCTCTGGGTATGTCAAATTTCTGCAAGGCTGCGGCCATTGCTGGACATGAGAATATGTAGGTAGGTGTTAGTTCCACACCAAGACAATAGTTGCATGTTCTGTAGGTTCTTGTACTATCTGAATATATTGTCATTCCTTTATAGTGTTTTGTTCTGATTCTTGTGTTATTGTTTTTATAATTCTTCTATCAGAGTTTAATTCGCATATTTGATATTTTCTTATCTTTTGTTGAATTATCTTATATTTTGTCAAAACATGGCTTGTTGGTGCAAATGGTATATCGTCCAACTTAACCAATACAGAAATTGTTCGGCTGCTGTCCTGACCAGAACGTTCTTCTGATCTGTCGCCAATAGAAAACGTCTGGTTGTCTAGCGAATGCTACGTCACCCACACTTCAGTTTCATCTGTCGATGTATTGTGGCATTGTGTTAAAGCTGCATGGGAAGCTCTACCTCCAATCTCAATGCCCAGGCGTATAGGTGCTGTTATTGCTGCCAGAAGTAGTTCTTCTGGGAAATGAATTTCACTATCCATATATATACCTCCAAATTTCTTTCCCCCAATCAACTAATAGTTGATTTTTAATTATTTCATAATTGGCCCCAAATACTCTTTCTTGATTAAGCAAGAAAAGCTAACCACGTAGGCTTTCAGGATATTAGACTTCATCAGCGTGGTACAAGCTGTACTTCAACGACCAAAATAAAAAGCGTTCTTTCAGGCAACCTGAAAAAATCCTATTTTCACATTGTTTAAAATCATTACTGGAGGAAGGGAGGTATGGAGGGAAGACCAAGAAGTCCAATATAGTTCTTCAAACTAAAGATACTTCGGCCAGTAAATCTTTTTTTTTACTGACCGAAGTATCTTTAATTTGAAGAACTATGAATGCCGGCCAGGCAGCCTCTATCTTTATGATAAGGCCAATATAGGCATTCATGGGCACAACTTCGGGAAAAATACCTTATAATATGATTAAAAGACTGACCATGGAGAGAAAGCTGTAAAGATTGAGATTGAAACTTCTTTATTTCATCGTTCATATAAGATTATATAAGGTTAAATACAAAAAAGCTATGTATGTGGAGGGGACAAGGAAGAGCAACCAATATATGGATTGAAGAGAAATAGAACGATTCAATAAGATGATACATTTGCACCAAATTAACAAAGGTAAAAAAAGGTGAAACCACATCGATGATTCTAATAATGCCATCACTATATATCTCTGAAGACATTAGTCTAAGAGGTAGATCTCGTGGATTAAAACCTGAGTCTATTGATTAACAATTAATGGTCACCACACCCATTCATTAAGTATCGAACGATTTCTTTACCGTAGTGGACAGGATCTCTTTCTTGGCCGACATTGAGCCGATGGCTCGACAGGGCATTAGAGAAAATCTGTAAGTAAGCTATCAGAGAAACTATTTTTAAACAATTCACAATTCAATATGATTTATTGACATTCTTAGATAATGTTATAAAAATCAACGATAAATTAAACAAAGATAAATGTGATTATTTACAATTTGGTGATAAAATGTATACAGTTGTTCTCAGGAAGGAAGGCTTCTCCATCTTGTCCTTCTCCAGACAAGGGCAGTATCTCTCAGTTCAATGTTTATATAATGCTTATAGATAATTTCTTCACCGTAGTGGACAGGATCGCTTTCTTGGCCGACATTGAGCTGATGGTTCGACAGGACATTAGAGAAAATCGATCAGAGCATTAGACAATTCACAATTCAATATACTTTATGACATTCTTAGTTAATTGTTATGATAATCAAAGATAAAATGATATTATTTACAATCTGGTGATAAAATATAAACATTTGTTCTCAGGAAGGAAGGAAGGTTCCTCCATCTTGAGAGAGTTCTCCTCCAGACAAGGATAGAATCAATTTGAACCGCTCTAGTTCAATGTTTATATAATACTTATAATTTCTTTACCGTAGTGGACAGGATCTCTTTCTTGGCCTTGATAGAGATGATAGTTCGACAGGGCATTAGAGAAAATCTATCAGAGGAACCTTTTTGGAGAAAGAGCGAATGTACACACGAATCATATGTATTTGACATCGATAAACACTTTTATTTATTCTATATCTCTTCAATCCATAGTCGGTGGGCAGTATTCATGTTCTCTTGGGACTTCCTCTTTCTATGGTTAGTATTTTGATTGTACCGTAGGACGTTCTCTTGAAATATGCCTGAGATCACCTGACAAGGATCAAACATGTCTCAGATATAATCTATTCACAATGTTAAGAGGAAGAACAAACCGTGGAGCATGTCAACTGCCCAGCATTCCAACTACAGCGATTCCAGACGGCTACATTCCTTGAACTGACATCTTTCAATGACACTGACCTACTGAATCTACCAAGAAATAAACCGGCCTGGAAACACTTGGTGAACTGGCGCACTAAGGCTACCAAGACAGACTTCTAAACCACAGGACAACCTGGGTTGTTGGTGATCTATGGATACACTCCAGGAACCTGGGTTTACCTCTCTATATATATACACGTATACTATATTACTAGCCGAATGACCCGGGCAACGCCCGGGTTTTACCCTATTAAATGTACCCTATTCAAATACTATTCGTTACAATTATAAATTGGCGCCGTGGATGTCACTCTTGTGAAACGTCCCGCTCCAAACTTTGTCTCTGAGAAGCGATATTTTTTATAGAAAGATGATCTGGCTTTTGTTTTCTGCTCGAATGGATGTTTTTCTGTTAGAATTTTGTTCCTGTATACAAAATAATGAACTGGTTTCACCCGTGGTCTCTGCTTTTTGGAATTTTTCCCGATATAATTTTGTATCTGATAATCAAACATGATACAGCAATATCGTCATCATCATTTTCTGACTAAAAATATATAGTTTTAATAATTGATTTATATATATTTTTTAAAATAGCCTATCGTCTTCCCCGTATTCTTTTACCTATGTATGGAAATTTTGGTTTGAATTAGTGAACTACTGCGAATTTGTATACCGGACATACAAACAAACAGACAGACAAACATACAAACATTCATTTATATATATATAGAGATATAATAAAAAGGCATATATTGTATTTAATAAAATATTTATTTTGCCAATATTTCGGCTGGCTGAACGCCAACCTTTATCGAGGCATTACATTTTTGTATATACAAACTCAGCGCCGCATATTGTATATACAAAAATGTAATGCCTCGATAAAGGTTGGCGTTCAGCCAGCCGAAATATTGGCAAAATAAATCTTTTATTATAAATACAATATATGTCTTTTTATTATATAATGAAATAAATATGGATCGCTCTATTTTCAAAACTTATATATGTTATAAATAAAGATGAATGAGATTTTCTGTTGATTTTAGATCATGTTGAAGATTATGGTAATGCAGTCGTGGTATGATAATGAAAAATAGTTTTGATCAGTAATTTAATTGACTTGAAGGAATATATAAAAAAACAATTTAATAAAAGCAATGCCTGGCTTAAGGCG